CTGGGAGCCCTCAGCAACTGACTTAACCTCTCTGTGAGTCAGTTTTCCCATTTGCAAAATGGAAATGATAATGATAGTAGTTGACTCACAGGGCTTCTGTGAGGATCATGGCAGCATGCTCAAAATTTAGTGTGCTTGTCACAAATTGAAAGCAGCTAGGCCTAAACTTCTGTCACCATAACATGCAAACTCTCATATTCACCTTATTTCATCTAGCAGGGAGATTATATACTTTCTTTAAAATTCCCAGAATACCTGAGATAAAAGTCATTGTGAATGACTTGGTATGAGTTAACCATTACTCGACACTGCCTTTACACAGCAGCTGTTTTCTAGATGCTGATGTGTATAATAGGAAGACAGAGAACCATCAGCTTTAGATGTCTCTTTGGTACAGGGCAATAGTTTCCTATATTTCAAAACTTCTAGAACCCTTCCGTATTTTACAACATGAAAAGATGGTGCAGACCACAGCTTCCCCACATGCACTGTGTGTGCTTTAGTCATTGAGAAAATGGTGATGGTCAAAACTACACTGAATGCTGGCATGCTTTTTTAAAAAGTAAACAATATTTTGAATATATATATAAGTATATGTACTTGCAATGATGCTTTTTTTTTTTTAAGATTTATTTATTTATTTATACGAGCATTGGGTACAGTCAGAGGCGCAGGAGGGTGAGAGAATTCACTAGAGCCAGAGCAGAGAGAACAGGCAGAACTGCTGAGGAGAGCAGCAGGCAGCAGGAGAGGTCTGTGCGCCATGTGGGATCAAACCAGCGCTGCAGAGGCTGCGGGAAGCTTCGCAACCCAGCACTCAACTGCTGCGCCACTGGGGAGGCCTGCTTGCAATGATGCTTTAAATGACCTTATCTTTTTCCCCTGCTGCTGCTGCCATACAAGAAAATAAAGAACGTCTAACTGGGTAAATCGATTGTTTTCCATTATTAGAATATAAGAAACAATAGAAGCAGTGAAAGATAAATATATATAGAATGCCACCTCTTTTTATATAAACCTATGGGAAACTGGAATATATATGTACATATTTTCTGGCCCTTTCAAGAACCTGAGGCTCCCTTCTGCCAGGTCTCAGCCTGTCACAGAACCCACACTCCTGTCATCACAAAACACTCAGTGGAGAAGAGGGGCCTCATACTAAAGACCATCCTTGGGTGGGGAACACTTACCCCTCACTCCTCAAATGCCTATAAAGTAGAAATTTCTCTTCTGTCACATCAGGGGTCTTTAAGGAAGCACCTGATACCTGTCCTTCCCACCTTCATTTGCATGAGGCGGATTTCTCTGGTTAGATCAAGGACAGTCTGTCAGCCATTGGACTACACTTGACCACAAAGGGTAGGGTGAGTTGTCCTCAAAAGTTGTTCCTCCTGGTGCCGCCTATTTGGGGCTTCCTGGATCAGAAAAAAAAAATCAAGACACCTCTCCGGGAAACCTGCAATTTGTCTGTCTGGGCCACCCACCTCTTCCCTTTCTGGAGGCAGCCTGGAGCCCATCTTTTTCTTCCCTCACACTGACCAGTTTTCCAGGGCTGTGTGTGCGACCAGCTTCTTCCAAGCAGACTGCTGATCAATGACACTTGGTCAACTTTATGCAGTCAACTTGTCACCCTTGGGGGTCATGCTTTAGATGTTGGGGGACAGCCCTCCTGGTCACAGGTTCCAGCTGAGTTCTCTAATTCAGTCTTCCCAGGAGTCTTCTGTCTTCTGTCTTCTATTCCAGAGTGGATTCTCTGATCCCTTTGGTATCTCTGGCTAGACCTCAGGGCTGATTGTGTTAAAGATCACCCATATCCAACCCTCAGGATGACTTAGAAGAATAATAAGGACAGAAAATGCAAACTTCACCCCCTCAAAAGCAACTCACAACTTTTTGCGTGAAGTATTACTGGTTTCACAAGGCACACAATAAAAATGGTGAGAAGGCAGGTGGTTCTATTGCTCTTCTCTCTCCTGAGAAAGCTCAACTGCAGACACCCAGGGGCTACAGGCCTGGGAGGGAAGACCAGACTGATCTGGAACAATCACTAAGAATGAAATCCCAGGTGCACAAAGTGCAACCCCAGAGTTCTTTATGAACTTTGAGTTTTAGCAAATGTGACAACACAAAGTATTGCACTTCCAGTGCCTCTTACTATACGCTTCTTCTCTCCTCCCGCCCCCCCAGCTCTGCACAGCTTGCCAGAAAAGTCACCTGCAGACAGTAAATATAAATCTGTGCATAAATATAGACCTGTGTTTCATAATCACCTGTGCCTAAGGGCAGCAAACCAGAATTTTCTTCGGTAACTACTAAGATTAAATTCTACCCCTTCAAATGTTCAATGCATTTATTTTTTTTTTTAATTTTTTTTTTTAATAGAGGCATGTTATTTATTTATTTTGTTTGTTTGCTTGTTTGTTTGTTTATACATGCACTGGGTACAGTCAGAAGCGCGGGAGGGCGAGAGAATTCACCAGAGCCAGAGCGGGGAGCAGAGCAGGCAGAAGGACCGAAGTACACTGCTGAGGGGAGCAGCGGGCGGCAGGAGAGGTCTGCGCGCCATGTGGGACCCTCCTCTGGTGGCTGGGGAGCAGCCGGGGATCGAACCGGCACTGCAGAGGCCGCGGGCAGCTTCGCAACCCAGCGCTCAACCGCTGCGCCACTGGGGAGGCCCCAAATGTTCAATGCATTTAGTAAGAAAAGACTGCTATTAATATAAGAAAGGAATTTTTCTTAAAATATCTCAGAAATCCAGTTCTTTATTACCCTGGACTCACTAACAATTGTTAGAGTGTGGTAAATTAGAAAGCGTACCTTGCTCCCACTACCAATGTCAAGATATGGCCTAATAATAGTCGCTGGGGATATAAATAGTATGGCCTGGGCCACAGAGGTCTAATTTATCACCTCCAGTTGCTGTTCTCCTTCTGGGCCATCTTTACACAGGCTTGTGCTGCAAGGAACGGCTGTCAGGGGCCCCTACAGGGACACGCTGGAAGCAGCAGACTGAAGATACTTATTGACATGTGGCATGCGCCTGGGATTGAATCACATGTTTTTTTAAGTAAACAGGAATAGAGCTTTGACTATTTTTTGTGGGGGCCTGGTTATTCTTGTTGCTTTCCTCTGCCAACCCCTTGTGTCAATCCCTCGATGCTCTTTAGATCATCAGCAGCACCATCATGCAAACAGACAGTCCTTTCTATTGCTGCACATCACAGAGTTCTCAACAAGGACCCTGCAGAAAGCAGATGCCATGAGTCCAGGGGCCTACCATGCCCTGCCTGCTGCCTGCTGCCTGCTGCCTGCTTGGCAGCTAAGGCCTGTCTCTGGTCTGTTGTGAGAGAAATGAGCTCCTGTCATGTTACAGCAGTGTAGCCTAATCCTAACAGATATGAGGGGTGTGGGAAACTGGAGCTCCAACCCTGACAAGAGGGAAATGGAATATCCTAGATGATACTGAAGGGAGATGCCAGGGAGAGAACACTGCTCCGTCCAGACTGGAGCAGTGTAATTCTCTGTATTGGGGCTCTCTTATATTTTGGTTTTTAAATTATGGGCATAATGCTCAGATGAGCCTAAGCCAAATGCTTATGTGTACTTAGCTTATCTTGTGCTGATGACATTTCTGTTCTCTGCACTTGGCTGGCTGAGGGGGTAGGGACACTCCCACAGCTAGGGTGTGCCCTGACCTGCTCCTCATAGCTGGACTTTGGCCCTGGAAGCAGAAAATGCAGAATAGCCCATGTCCATGGGCCATGGTTCTGGGGGGACACCCGGTACCTGTTCACACAATAGCCTCCCTGACCCGGGGGCCTTGTGTTTTCAAGAATTTACTCAGCACCACCTGCCTAGTAAACTCCCAAGGAAGCTGAGCTTGTTTAGCTTATCATCTCCTGGGTTGTTTATTTGATTGTGATAACAACTCCCTTTCCTCACACAACTAGCCTGGTGTTTGCTATTGCTTTTCAAAGCTAAAATGTCTTGCTTGGGGTGACTGGAATGAGTAAAAATATAGAGAAGCATTAGTATGATTACAACAAAAATAAAGTAGTGATTTCCTCCAAGAGGGAGGAAAGGTGGGCTTGTGGACCTCTAAGGTGTTTGACCATTACCTTAGAAGTTATTTTGTATGCACAGTTGCTTTATTGCTTAATGTAACTGACAGGTACATTGTTAATTTAAATAGATCTATGTATTCTGTGTACTCTCCTGTATGTCTAATACATTTTATAATATTTTTTAAATAGGTTACAGTACTCATGAAACTGATAAATGTGGTCAGGAGCAGGGATTTGGAGAGGGGTGGAGTAACAAAGATTTTACGTTTGACCACATGCATGTATTGATAAAATGAACTTCTGTGCTAGAAACTAGGTGTTCAAAGTTAAGTCTAAGTCGAGGCTCTTGCCCTTGAATTCTTCTGAATCTGGCAAGAGACCAGTACAGGCGATCACAGCTCTCCTCTGGTTGTACTGCAATTAAAGGACCTATATGCAAATGCTTTGAGATTACAGAAGAGGGAGGAATTTTTTTTTTTTTTTTTCAGTCAAAAGACAGTGAGTAGAGAGAGTAGGTACGGGGGATATAAACTACATCAGGCATTGAAGGAGTTTGAAAGGAGGAGAAAGGGCATAGTAAGAGAAGGAAACACAGTGAGCAAAGATGCAGAATATGGAAGTGCAAGAAAGTTTAGTGGAGATGGGGCTGAGCTGGAGGGACACTGCAGAAACTCCAGTGGGTGGTATTCATAGTGTTATACTGTGAGAGTCTGCACAATCATCCACAGCAATCTAATCAAAGGGAATAGAGCCCATAAAACAAAGAGGAAGCTGAAAGTACAAGGGTACTAGGTAAGAAATGAAAAAATGGAATGTGACATTGAAAATGATTACTGAACCCTAAACGTCATACAGTGGACTAGCATCGACATATAATATTCAAATTGTCATTTCATTATGAAATTTAAAAAAAAAAATCACACCAACCTTTTATACTTCAATGTGCCTTTATTTATAATGGCAGGGGACAGTCATGCTGTATTTCACAATAGTACTGTTCCTTAAGGTTGGAAACATAGAAAAGAATTAGACAAAAATCACAGGGTCATCTATGGGTGCCTCTTTATTAGAAAAGAAATTAACTTTTCACACTAGAGACTGCAGAAGGAAATTAATCTTGCAATTCTAGAACAAACTTCACAATAAAGAATTCATAAGTTCTCAAGGGGGGGGGAATTTAGGACAGTGTCTCACATTTGGCGCCTTTCAGATATTCTTGGAGATTATATATTTTGTATGAGAATGTTTTACTTTTGTGACTCAATAAATCAAATTAATACACACTCAGAAAACCTTGGACCATGACCTTACATAACAGTGTTGCTGCATGATTACAACTGCACTTGAACCTCTGATCTTGAGGCACCGACTGAAAACAACCATGCTGAACTTTTTATCTGGAGCTTCTCAGTTGAATCATCACACCCCTTCACAAAATTGTTGAACAGTTCTATGAGATCTGTGAACTGTCAAGGTCTAGAACACTAGCTCAGAGTGCCCATTCTTAAGATAGAATGGGGTGGGTCTGGTGACCCCCATGGTTAGTTTGAAAAATCACACCCAACCTACCCATTGACATTATAATAAAATTCCATGCAGACAACTCAACAAAATAACTTCAACTTATGGGCAGTTACAGAAAACCAACTACAAATTCATCCTGTGGAGTCTGAGACGTACTTGGGTGAGAAACACTGGCTTAGAGGTCAAGGAGTCTAGCATGTAGAAAACAGTAAGAAAAGCATGCCAAACAGAAAGATCCTCTTTTGGATCATTGAGTAAATTCTAAGCCATGGAACCCAAACAACCAATCTAGAAGAAATCCAAGCTGTCCATCAACCTTCTCTGACTAGTGATTTGGGACAAATTGATCCACTTTTAATACTGAGTCAAAAGAAGAAATGGTTGATTTTTTTCCCAACCCCTCCCTTTTCATGGTTAATATATTTCAGAATTGGCAGTAAATAGTTGCTGTAGCTGGGTGAACAGAGCCCCAGATCCATCCACCGAAAGGCTTTCATCATTTGCAATGCCATCCAACTCTCAAGGGGATGTCAACTTGTGGGCTGCTTTGCCAGGAAATAAAAAAAAAAAAAAACATACAAAGAATTGAATTTTCTTGGAAAGGTAAATTCCCCTCATTCCCCTTTATTACCTGAGCAGTTACACTTGTGATTTAAACAATGTTTCAGATTGTCTTGACATAGAGTTGCCAGCAAAATACTGAGAGCTTGCAATGCTGAAGGACAACACAAATAAAGAGAACTTGCGGGGTCTCCCTGGTGGCACAGGGGTTAAGCACCACATTATGAAGCAATCTGCAGCCTCTGCAGCACCAGTTCAATCCCCGGCCAGCCAGGGAGCAACCCACATGGTGCAGCAGACCTCTCCTGACTTGCCCGCTGCTCCCCTCAGCAGTGTATTTCAGTCACTCTGCCTGTTCTGTTCCCCACTCTGTTTCTGGTAAATCCTCTCACCCCCGCCCATGCATCTCTGGCCTGTACCCCAGCTCTTGTATGCATAAATAAAGAAATCTTTTAAAAAAAAGAGAGCGAGCACTTGTGGGTCTCTAATACCCACCCAAACATAGAGATAGTCAGGGAAATGCTATTTCCCATCTTCCTAGGAAAGTCAATCTAAAATGCTTTAAAAAAAAAAAAACTGCTATAGAATAGGAAACATCTGACATCCATTTAACTGGGGTTTCAAGCTTTGGTGCAGGGGATGACTTAAGGGTAGAAAACAAAGGCAAACCTGTATTCACCTACTGTGATAATGTAGTGACTTGTGATTAGAAGTCATTGACAATTTTATATCAGGGAAATCAGCTGTGTTTCAGACTTTAAACTCATGGCCCAAAGATAAGTTATTAACTAGTGGTCAATAAATATCCCTTAAAGAACATTTTAGTTAAAGAACCATACATTTCTTCTGTGACTAAACAAAACAAAACAAAACAAAACCACCACCAACTCACTCCGTGTGTGAGTTCAGAGAATTGGCTTGGTTAGATGCCAGCTGGCACTAAAAGCTAGAGGAGGGGGAATTTCATGAGACCCTAAAAGTATTCTGGTTCCTCTCTAAAGAGTTCATCACTTGGATAGGTTTCCATTGAGCCAAGGATCTCCTTTGGTTAATGTGTTTGGAAAGTTGAGTAGGTTGAATTGATTTGCAGTGTGAACACAGGTAAAACAAAAATTTCCTTGATTTCACACTTCACTTAGAATAATCCAAATTGCTTACCATGTGTGGGTTCTGGGGTCCTGTCCACAATTCTTACTACTCTTCCTTCTCATTGCACTTTAGACTGCCCTTACTTGCTTTGGATTTTGTGAATATTCCATACTTGTCTCCCAAGAGTCTATGCTCTTACTATTTCCCCTGCCTGAAAAGCTCTTCTGCTTTATTTCCTCATGTCAACTAGCTCAACTAGTTCAACTAATCTATCCTGAGAAAGGCCTTCCCTCACCATGTTAAATTGGCTCTCCACCCCCTACCATGTTCTATCACATTATTCTATTTATTTGTTTTAGGAATCAGTTACACATTTGTTTTTGATCTGCTTAGCTCTCTAGAATATAAGTTCCATGCTATCTTTTTGTTCACTTCTACATTCTGAGTTCCTAATCTAGTGTCTGGCGTGTTCAGTGGAAGGATTTCTTTCCATTGACACAATCCCTTTTAAAATTGTACTTAATAAATGACATCATAGTGCCTCAAATCACCCCAAGTCACTGTTTCCCCAGCTAGAGTGCTTTCCTAGATTATAATAAAATACAACAACAGAAATTTCATCATCTCCCAGGGTCTCCAGACCAGTGCCCCCAAGTCACTCACCTGTAATTATTGTAGAGCTCCAATTTCTCTTAGCCGCTTCAAGAGTTCCCCATTCCGTTGCATTTTTTCTAGATCATTGCACCCTCCTATACAATCTTTACCAAGAAAGACCCGGGGTACCTGAAAAAGCCAACAAACAGGACATGTAAGGAAATTATTAGATTAGAAAAAAAAATTTATCTTGAAAACATTTCCTATGATCCAAATTGCACTTCAAATTACTTGACATCTTCCTTGTATGTGTTCTTTCAAGTCAGAACTTCCTGTTATAAGGGCAAAATTATTAGGGAATGTTTTTTTTTTAAAGATTTATTTATTTATGCATATAAGAACTGGGGTATAGGCCAGAGGTAGGAGATGAGAGGATTCACCAGAGACAGAGTGGGGGCAGAACAGGCAGATCCACTGAAATACACTGCTGAGGGGAGCAGTGGGCGAGGTAGGAGAGGTCTACTGTGCCATGTGGATTAGCTCCTCATGCTGCAGTGGCTGCGTGGCTGCGGATAGCTTCACAGGTTACATCTTAACCCCTTGCGCCACCAGGGAGGGAAATGTTTTTTAAGTCAGAATACTTTTCAAATTGAGCATACTGTTCATGAGATTGTTAGATTTGCCAAAGTGACTTTAAAAATTACTGCATGGAAACGCCTTTCAGGGGAGACCACGCTGCAGCAAGGACCACACTGACTGAATTCCCGCTTCTCTGCAGCAGAGACCACACACGAGCCCTTAAGCTGGGTCCTGACAACCAGGAAGTTTGTTTCCAAAAACACCTCAAAAAGTATTTGCATTAGGGCCTCCACTGGTGGCGCAGCAGTTGAGCGCTGGGCTGCAAAGCTGCCCGCAGCCTCTGCAGCGCCAGTTTGATCCCCGGCTGCCCAGGGAGGGTCCCACATGGCGCGCAGACCTCTCCTGCCGCCCACTGCTCCCCTCAGCAGTGTACTTCGGTCCTTCTGCCTGCTCTGCTCCCCGCTCTGGCTCTGGTGAATTCTCTCACCCTCCCGCACTTCTGACTGTACCCAGTGCTTGTATAAATAAATAAATAAATCTTTAAAAAAAAACTTTAAAAAAAAAGCAAAAATGAATTCTTATTAAAAAAAAAGTATTTGCATTAGGTTCTGTTCCTGATTTTTAGGTCCACAGTATATTTTGGTCTTCATGTTGCGAGTTCTGTCCCCAGCTGGGGAGCGTGGCAATCTCCTCGTTAACCACCTGGTCTCTCATAAGGTGGTAAGCACTGCAGCTCAGGGATGAAGGACACTCATCTGCTTGGTTCTGCACCTGGTATGGGGGTGGGTGGGTGTCACCCAAGGCAAACCAGAGTGACACCATCATTGTTTAGTCCAGTCACACTCTGAGTCCCTGCCTACCGCTAAGTATTCCAGAGGCTTCCAGAAGGAAGACCATGTCCCACTGTGGCCTCAACAACCTCCAGTCAAGTGTCACAGAAAGAAAGGTTGACTGACAGTGGTGAAATAAGCCTAAAATAGAGGTCACCTGTGTGGTCAGAGGCAAGCCGTTTTCTCCCTGAACACTAGGAACATACCAGCAGGGCAGAAGGTGAAGGACAAAGCGATAGAGTATTCTCAAAGATTTTGATTTTCCTCAGAAGATATAATACGAGTGATAATTCTTTTTTCAAATGTGAGAAATGAAAGGACTAAATTATTCAGATGAGCCCATGCCATGCTTTTATTAAGAAGAGGGTCTGAATAAAAGTGGGTTTTAAAAATTAAGCTGCCTTAAAAATTAGGGCTGGGCCTCCCTTGTGGCGCAAGGGGTTAAGATGCAACCTATGAAGCTATCCGCAGCCTCTGTAGCTCGAGTTCTATCCCCGGCCAGGGAGCTAACCACATAGTGCAGCCGACCTCTCCTGACTTACCCGCTACTCCCCTCCGCAGTGTATTTCAGTAGATCTGCCTGTTCTGTTCCCCACTCTATCTCTGGTAAATCCTCTCACCACCACCCCCACACCTGTGACCTGTACCCCAGTTCTTGCATGCATAAATACATCTTTTTAAAAAATTGGGGCCCATTTCCACAACTACTTCCTGCACCCCAGGGGTGGGAAAGAATGCTCAGGACTATTTCAGGGAGAATTTTGGTGCCATCCTCTCTGACACGGCAGGTGGGACCTGCAAATTCCAAGCTCCATCAAGCAACATTGGTTTTATCAGCTGAAAGAATAGCCACAGAAAGGTGAGATCAGAAAGGTAAGTTGTCCCATGGTTCTTGGCCATTGTCTTAGAGAAAAATAAATCTTCCCTCCTAAATTGTTGGGTCTGTTCATGTCTCCCCATGAACACTTGGCGGTGGTGAGTTGGAATAATAAATACAATAGAATCCTAATATAGTTCTAATATTGTCATACTATTATTATAGAATAATAATGTTATGCAGGACTCCTTTTATTACAACTATTGCCTAAATAAAAATCATCAGGGCTTTCATTAAGGAAGAGATGCAGTCATTCTCAAACTTCTGTGTTTTGAGAAGAACTGGGCAGTTTTTCACTACTCTTAAGACTTGCCACTTCACCGCCGCAAGAGTGTTGGCTGAATTTGAATTAGTTAGCAAGAACGCTCTGAGCAAGAGGTCCTCTCTTAGACAGTGGTTTTCAAACTGTACCGTCAGAACCGCCAAAATGCTTGTTAAAACAGATTTCTACTCCCTACCCCATCTTTCTGATACAGGACATTTGGTGGGACTTCAAGATTTTCAGCATCTGATAGGTTCCCAGGTAATGCTGACTTCTGCTCTGGAGATCACAGTTACAAAGACAGGTTAACACTGAGCAGCTGCCTTTATTCCTCCAAGGTTAAGTGAGGCTGAAAACCCACAGCCCTACAGCAGCCCCCAGCCACCTAAGACAGGCTATGAAGCTTGCTCAGGCTGTCTCGGGGTGTCGTTGTGTGCACACCATCTGGCAAAAAGTCTGTTTTGGCTTGCATGTTGACAGGCCCCTCAGCCCTCACACCCATTCACACCCTGGGCTCAACAGCAGCACCACCACATTAAAGCACACAGTGAATGGGACAAACCTCCTCCCACCCCCAAGGGAGTGGAGGAACCACAGGCTGTGCAGGACAGGGGAGGTGGCCTGTAGTGACAAAACAGGAACTTGAGTCAGCTAAGGAAGAGGAAATGTGCCCTCTGCGATTCCTCTGGCCCCATTCCCCTCTAGGGAGGACCTTGACTGTCTGGCACAGGCGAGAAGCAGAAAGGGAGCTGACACTGAGTTTACTCAGAGCATCTGTCCTCCATTCCTCACCACCAACTTGGCTAAGCCCTGGTACAAGCTACCGTCATTTCTTATGCAAATTTCTGCTGTAACCTCCAGATGTGGTAGATCCTCCCTGTGGTGTGCCACAGTCATGTATTCTCATAGCTGCCAGAGTGAACCTTTCAAAACTAGGTCAAATCGAGTCACTTCTCCACTCCAGACCACCCCTTGACATCTTTTCTCACCTCACACAGCACAGTCCTTTTCACAGCATGAAGGGCCTTCCCAACCTGTATCCCATTATCTCTCAGACCTCATCTCATCCTACTCAATGAACTCAAAATTCTCTGACTAAGCAGGCCTCCTGGCTAGGTAAGATCTACTGTAAACCTTTGTTGACTGCTGATTCTGAATTTCTGCATGCCTTGCTCCCTCACCAACTTTAGAAATCTACTCAAATCAGTGAGTTCCTGAGGACTCCATCGAGAACTGTACCTCTGCCTACTGCCTGGCTCCCTTTCCTACTTAGTTCTTCTCCATAGCACACCTATCACTACCACCTTCAAAATACTATTGAATATTTTCAGTATTTACTAGGATATAAGTTCCACAAAGGCAGGGGTTTTTATTTTGCTCATGGTGATGTTTCCAATGCCCAGAGACTTCTAAGTGCCTAGACTTAGTAGGTGCTTAACCATCTTTGTTGTCTCTGGCAAATTTTCTTTAGAAGTGAAGGAGAATAAAAACTTCCACACAAAAATTGAGAGAGGGCCTCCCCTGGTGGCGCAGTGGTTGAGTGCTGGGCTGCAAAGCTGCCCGCAGCCTCTGCAAGGCCGGTTAGATCCGACGAGGGTCCCACATGGCACATAGACCTCTCCTGCCGTGGCTGCTGCTCCCCTCAGCAGAGTATTTTATCAGTCTGCCTGTTCTGTTCCCCGCTCTGTCTCTCGTGAATTCTCTCACCCTCCCGTGCTTCTGACTATACCCAGTGCTGTATAAATAAATAAAGCTTTAAAAAAATTTTGAGAGAATTTGTTGCCAATGGGCAGTTTTGCAAATGTCCAGAGATGTTCTTCAGAGAGAAGGGAGATGATATAGGTCAGAAGCATAGATCTACATGAAGAAAGGAAGGCATCAGAGAAGGAATAAAAGGTACAGACCTAGGAGCTGTGACTAGCGCAAAACCAAAACCATGCACAGCCCCATCAAAGGCCTAGGTTTCTATATCGGTCGAGTCCTGCTGGGCTCCTACTATTTGTATTGTATCACTTTGCAGGCCAAGTAAGATAACATCTACTCTCAAGTTTTCAGCCTCTTGGAATATGATCCTCACTGTTGGGGACTGTGAGGCATACAAGTTTACATGATTTGTTCTTCCCTATGGAACACACTCAAGAAGCTATGATAAATATTTTTAAAAATTCAAAAGCTTAAAATACCACTGGAAGAGAAATTGTTGCTTTCCAAAGAAATGAAAAAATAAATTGTTGAATGAATGCAAGAAGACGTCTGTTCCTCCTGTTGAAGAGTTGATGTGGCCAGGCTGGGAGTAGGGGTTCCCAGAATGTGTTACAAATTGTAATTACCTGAGGATCTTTTTGATGTTTTGGGTAGGGAATAAACTTTTTCCAGATTTATTGAGATGTAACTAACAAATACATTTGTATATATTTCAGGTGGATATCCTGGTTTAATAGACATGCTTTGTAAAATATAACCACCATCAAGTTAATTAACACACTCATCACCTCATATGGATACCATTTGTGTGCTTGTACTGAGAACACTTAAGACTTAATCTCTCAGCAAATTTCAAAAATACAATGCAGTCATTGTTTATTATAGTCCCAAAACTCACTCATAACTGAAAGCTTATACCCTACAACCAAAGATCTTTAAAACTGCTGATGCCTGGCTCCCACCTCTGACAATGTGATTTAACTGGTGGGAGCATGACTTAACCATTGGGATTTTTTTAAAGCTCCTCAGGTGATTCTAATGTATAAAAAAACTTAGGACCCCTCTTGGCTAGTGGTTCCCATCATAAGGAGGCCAGGACCATGCTATGTTCCCCTTTTCCACCCAGGACCTGGGCAGCCTGTACAACTGGGTTAAACTAAGCAGCAAGTCTCATTTGCCATTGAGCTCCCAGCTCCAGGACCTGCCCTAGCCGGGTCTCGCAGCTGAGGTCCTGGATGACCAGAGAGGTGGGGACTTGCCAGGGATTACACAGGAAGCCGTGTGAGAGCCGGGCCAGAGCTCTGACCTCTGGGCTCCCCATTATGACAGGTCTGGGAAAATCTGGTAACTGAGAGGCAAGTAACTTTGCTGTTAGATTTTCCAGTGGGAAGAGTTAGATAAGAGAGGGGAGAATGAGTTAACTAGGTTATTATTAAAGGGAGCCTAGAAAAAAGGATAAGAACAAGCAAATTCCAGGAGGCGGTGTGAAAACAGAGGAGTACACACAATTTCCATGTTGAGTAACAGAAATGTACAATCACACTTGGCCTCTCTACCCCACAGCATTGCAACTGAAATTTTATTCTCAGCAGTGCTTAAGACAAAGACTCCAGATAACTCTTCAGTGATTCCTGACAGCTGCCTGCCAGGCCCACAGACCCTGACTCCCGGCACAGTTGGCCTTGCTCCCTCCTCTGAGCCAAGAAGAGGAACTTTGGCTGCAGCCCAGCTGCCCATTCAAGGGAGCTGTGTCTTCTCTCCAGCACCCTCCTCCACCCCTCTGGGCCCTCCCGAAGCCCGATGCCTGATGCCTGGAGTGACAGAGCCCTAGCGGTGTCCTAGAGAAAGGCACAAACGCACCCCGTTCACAGCCCAGACAAGGTCAAGGAATTCCAGCGCCTTTCCCCCACCCTTTTCAAACTAAACCCCAAAACTCACCGTCCTGGCTCCAGTGAGCTGTTGCAAATAATCTTGAATCTCATTTGTGTCACTGGTGGCTGTGATATCGACAAATTCCAAAACCCCTGGTTTGAAAGGCAATTGGCCCAGGAGCTCTTGTGTCTTTTTGCAGTAAGGGCAGGTGGGTTTAATGAACACCACCACCTTCCCTGGCTGGATTTTGCTGTTCACAAACTCTTGAGCCATGCGGACAGACGGCGGCTTGCCCCGGAGGAATCCTCGATTGCAGGTATCGCTCAGGGTGTACAGCTGCTGCGGTCCAGCCAGCAGGCTCCCATTTAAAGGAACCACCCCGGAGGAGGAGTCTGTCCAGCATCACATTCGGTTTTTAAAGGGACAGCCCTAGAGTCTTTTTTTAGTCTGCTGTGCTTCACCAGTTAGAGATGCCTAGGAGTCATCCTTGTTGTCTGTCATCCATAGCTGTGTTCACAGCTTCTTTGTCCCCAGATCTTTCAGGAAAGCCTGCCCATTGGCAGAGAACAGAGTTAAACCTCTCTGGGTGGGGAAGGCGAGAGGCAGTGTAAATTGCACAGATCAGGTCTTGGGAGGGGCCTGAGCCAGGGTGACTTCTTAGAGTAAAATCTTTGTTTTTCTTCTCAGAAACACGGTTTAAAAAACACGCACAATTGAACATTCATGAAATAGAACTCTTTGAAATCTCTTTAGAGAAAGTGAAATTGAAATTGTCATATCCTGTCTTGAGGTGGTTTCCAGGGAGTTTTGCTTGACTCTGACCATGAAATTTATTGTGATTGTTTTACTGAAATTTTTCACAACAGTTACTGAAAATTACTGAGATTACGCAAAAGAATCTCAACCTGTAATCTGTCTCTGAAGTCAGGTCTTACAAGAGTGAGCTCACACACATCTGCGGCAGCACAGTACTTTTAGCTCTGTCATCTTTCACCTTCAGACAGGGCGCACGGTGGCTCTTGATTGCCAGTCTCCCACCTCCAGCTCATGCCTTCCATATGCCATCTTTACCCCCATGAGTTCATGACTTGAACAATAGTTGGGCATGGAAGCAATCCCCAAATTCCAACATAACCCCTACTTCAAACTACTGGTTCGGTGAGGGCCTTTTTTTCTGTTTGATCCAGTTTGTGACCCTTGTTTCCACTGTTTGTGAGTGGAAGTGATGTGATAACCATCATATTCAGGTTTTACATTTTCTGGAGCATTTTCTGGACATCTGATGCTCTCCCCCAGGGGTCCATGCTCCCTAGGGAGTGGAGCAAGTCTTTTGTTCTAGGTCAAGTTCTGACCCTCTGTGTGCCTGCCCCAAAGTTAAATAAACAAATAGAAGAAAATTTATCTCCATTAAAAGTGAGTTATCCTTTCCCCAGGAAGTTTTATACTAAACCAGAGTATCCTCAGAGAGATGCAGACAGATGGAGCCAGGTGGGTTCGATGGTCATGTTGGAAAATCCCAAGCAAATTGTGACTGAGAGAAGAAAAGCAAATGCCCTCCCAAAACAGCTGTCACTATTACTAAAATTAAATGTCCAAGAGAAACCAAGATTCTGAGTTACAGAGAGGGAGTTTGTGAGTAAGATGGCTGTCAACAAAATGGATGTGGCAGGGTGGAGCCCTGAGGCAACTTGGGGCTTCCCACCCCATTGTTTCATTGCATCTTAAATAAGCCTCAGGGCAAAGCCTGTGTCTCCTCTCTTCTCTCTTCAGCTTGGACTTCTGTGACCAGTCCCCTTCTTAGGCCCAAGGACTTTTCAGGGCCCTTTCCCATTCACCAGGCCCAAGGTTGCTCAGCACACTTTCTATCTGCCAACTCCCTCAGAGTTTCTCAATATTTAGGATTCCCCTTTTCTCTGCTTGCCTGGTACCCTCACATATGACAATGTTCAGGTTTAGCCTGTAGTAAAAACCAACAACAACATTTCCCATCTCCTTTTTAAAATGTATTTTATTGAGGTAACATTTGTTTTTAACAAAGTGTAAGTTCCGCATGTACATTATTATGATTTAACATCTGTATCCCATTTCCTTCTTTCTTTCCGTCACCCTTAACAAGTTTCACAAAACTTCTGTTACCTTTGCTGCCTATACTTTATTCACCCCACCTCGTTGCAATCTGACCTTTTTATCAATCTTTCTGCTGAAACACATTTGGCCAACATCTCAATTGCTTAATCGCCTTGTAGCTGGGTGTTCTGACAGAACTTACCTCAGAAGACTGGGTGTGGATTTTTTGATAAACTGATGGAGTGAACCTCCCAAAGGATCTCCTTCTATAGGACCTCATGGCGGGGTTCGGTTCTGGGACATATGCTGGGATATAGGAGGACTCTAATCATCATCTGCCCTATAATTCAGCCCCAGGAATTGGTGTCTAAACCTTAGGAATAGATGGTCACAGGACATGAGCGAAGAAGGAATTTTCAGGAGACATGAAAACCAAATAAATAGCAAAGAGAGGGTGTCGACTCCATTTCTCAGAAGCACTGTGCTTCAGCTCCATGGAGAATTCAGAGCACAGTAGTTGCATGAAGGATTGTAGCTTTGGCAATGAGAGAATGTACCCTGTGGATTTCAGGGATATGTCAGGGGAGGTCTCCTCAAGTCTTGGCCATTAAGAGGGGCTGTGTGTGGAATGATGATGACTCTTTTCTGTCTTGTGTGAGACATTCCAGGCACTCCCCCTCCCGCGCTTCTGACTGTACCCAGTGCTTGTATAAACAAACAAATAAATAAATAAAACATGGCTCTATTAAAAAAAAAAAAAAGAGTGAGAACTTTACATGAGGAACCATAATAGTGTATTTTAAGCATGGATAGATTTGTAGTTAAATTATTAATGGATTAAAGACAGTAATATGTCCCAACTAACATAGCGAGTGCCTAAATGCATTGTGTGAACACAATGTAGGAATGTAGGAAATGTAGGAATGCCTGGAGCAGACGAAACTTTCAGTGTCCTTTAAGGTTCACTCTGGACCTGTCCTGGTTCCCAGTCTTAACACTTTGCAGGGGGACAGCTCAGAGGTCCCCTCAAGACATTAGGAGTCTGAGCTACTGTCAAAACGTCCTAGACTAATCACAGTCACCTTTGACCTTAAGATGTGCTGCTGGAGCCTTTTAGGAAATGAGCCATGTCACAGGAGTCCTGTTCTGCCTCAGAACCATGAAGATTCTGGTTTGTGGCTGTGCCATTTTCAGGGTCTGATCCTCTTGAATGCTTTCTTTCTGGAGCTCTCCAGAATTGACCACAGAAGCCACTGACTCTCACTTTAACTGTAGTCACTCTGGTCAGACCATTTACTCACCTCTCACCTCTGTACAGGGTTGCTGGACCCTGGACCCTGCACTCAATAGCACTGAGAGCTGCTATATACCTATGGTGTATCAGGCCTTGTTCTAGGAGTTTTCTACGTATCATCTGTTGTGTAACCATCCTAGGCCGGGTAGGTTCATTGTTGATTCCATAGACAAAAAGAAAATTTTGGTGCCTTCAGTATCTCTACCATGTCTTTAATGCTGAAGCAGGAGACCAGCCACAGGCAGACCAACAGGCAGGGAGGCAACCTCCTAGCCTCAGAGTAACGCCATGGTAAACACCAGAGCTGAGGAGCCCCTTTTATCCCTTGCTCCTGGGCCCAGTGTCTGTATTTACATATGTGCATGCCCCTTGCTCTGTGGCATCTTGGAACCGGTATCCACAGTTACATGACATGGGCCCTGAGCTCATGCCTCTCAGCTCCAGGAGAGTGATTAGTGTAGGAAGTTTTGACAGTAGCTCAGACTCAGAATGTCTTGAGGGGGCCTCTGAACTGTCCCTATGTGAGCCCCATGCTCGCATTCCCAAGCACTTTCCCCAGCAACACGTTAACATGTGTGGGCAATGAAACCTGTGAGGCAAGCAGGCAGTAGAGGCCAGTGGCAGGAAGGCAGAAAAAAAAAAACTGATTAATTCCATTTTCCCTACAATCTCTAATCCTCACAGCAACTTTGAAAGGTAGCTGCTTTGGATCACAAAGAAGAATGAGAGTCATTGACTTCAAGTATTTGAAGTTCAACCAAAATCAATCAAGGCTGCTTTCCAGAAGACTCCACCAGACATTTGGAAAGTTACTTGTTCCCACCTTTCCAATTATCCAGATGCAGTGTAGGTATGGCCTCTCACCTACTAGTGCTGGTGACTTGAGAGTCCCTGAGTCCCACTGAGGTTTCTTGCTGTCATTTCAGTTCAAGACTCTGTATCCTTGACCTTTCTGAGTATTTCACCACACACATGCTATTGACCTCCTGGGAGGGAACAAACTCTATCTCCTCTCCATAACCCTATCATTTCAGGCCAAAATAAGACCTTCTGAAGTAGGAATTTCTCTATTAGGGATGCAATAGAAAAAGTGGCATTGTATGGTTCCCTCTTTTCCCAGATCTTGGTGCTAAAGTGCATGAAGAGCCAGCAAGGCACAGAGCAGGTTCTCTATGATCTGGGCAGATGGGTAGGGTCCTGGAGCCCTCGAGATTTGGATAATCAGCCTTATTTTTTGCAGCCTTATTTTTTTTGCTTTTCAGGCTTTTGTTGAGCTTTTTATACCGTTTGTAGTGCAGCACCCAGGTACATGGAGGCCCAGCAGGCTGGCAGGACTCCCTGCAAATATTCACTCTTTCTGGGCTCTCTGGCCTTCTCTGCTATTGCTGCAGCTTCTACCACTGCTGCTGTTGCTGTTTCTCGTTCTCCTGTCATCCCCTTGACACCGCCCTTATAAGCCCAGTATCAGCCCAGGTATGCCCACTTATGCATGCCCACACCCAACTCCAGGTGCCTGCCATGAGGCACACGTGTAGGACTGCAGGGGTCTATCATTAATTCTAATGGTGGGAGGGCTGGAAAATCCTGATAATTTCATTTACCTTACCCATGAGATATTTCACAAGATATCACTCTTATCTCCTTTGCAATGGGTGTTGTTGAAAATCAATGGAAGGGTAAGGACTCCCCTAGGGCTATGACTTGGATCCCCTCTAAGATGTTCTTGAGTTCTAGATAGATTTAGATTCTAGAACATCATCTGAACAAGCAGAATATAACACCCCAGCTTTGAAAATGCAGCCTGTCACCAGCTGAATCAATTTGGATATTTTAAGTAGAAAGTAACAGAATACCCAATCAAAATCAGTTTTGCTTAGAGAAGTTTGTTTTTCTTGGCAATTGGGAAGTCTTGAGGCGGGGAGGTGGTGCAAGTCTCTGGGCGGTGTCTTTAAGAATCTCTTGGACACTCATGATTGCAGATTGGCTGCAGCTTGTCTAAGTACCCCTCCTCCTCCCCT